GTACAGACACAGTCACAGGCTGTAATTAAGTAAGTAAAACTCAAACTGTTTCAAATCAAGTGAAAACATCAGCTCTTCAGAATAATCTGGCTAACTGCACTGAAATTATGACTGCAATTATACCATAAAATGCACTTTATTATAATCACTCTTGGTTGTGCGATGACTTTTATATGTCGGCCCTCCTACAGACAGTGTGATTACTTCAGGAACAGATGAGGTAAACATGCTAAGATTACACAGAATCAGGGCTGGAAATACATCACGTTCCCTATGTGTTACCTGTTAATAAAATATTATAACTCTATATAGAACGATGTAGGAAATATTCTCTTAAGAAAGTCTTGATTGTTGTCTCATGTAGGCCATGGGTTATTTGTCATGTAGCCTATTGATATCATATTACTCTTTACAATTTAACATAAATGACATTAGATGCAAAGTCGTGTGCAAAAGTTTGAACGCTCCTACATTCGTACACTCTCAGAAATAAAGGTAGTAAACTGTCTCTGGGGCGATGCCCCTCTCATCAATGGGGTGGGACCCCCAAGGATACATCTCAGTACCTTTAGTCAGGGAACATAACTGAACCATAATCCACTGAAATGATATGTTCTAAGCTGTACTGACTCCACACACCCCGTCACGTCTCCAGGCTTTTATTTTACTGTTCTGTTTTAAAACATTCGGTTATGAAAAGGAACAAATACAAAACTTTTCACCTGGAAAAACTTATTTAAGGTTCACAATCAGACCTTAAAACCACTGCTGTACCTTTGAGGGAACATCTACATTGTTTGTACCTTAATAAATGAAAAATGTACCTGAACAGTACCTTTATTTCTAACAGTGTACATCAGGTTGGAAATGTGTGTCTATCTGCGGACTTTTTTATGCTATATTGCAGTTTCAATAATAATTGTTTAAATGTGAATTTCCATGGGACTCCCGAGTAGCACAACCGTCTAAGTGCTGGCCCCTATCATCAGGAGGTTGTGAGTTCAATCCCCAGTGATGCTACAGCCACCCATGGCCGGGAGTCTAAAAGAGCACGACTGACCTCGATCTCTGGGTGGGTAGGATGGTCCCCCATCTCCTCCCATCACCCAGCGCAATGCTAGCTTGTGCTAGCTTTCGCCCTCCTAGTGCTGGTGGTATGTATGACTGGGGGCGTCCTAACTAGTGGGTGGAATTGGACACTTCTAAACTAGGAGAAAATTGGGGGAAAAAAGATGAATTTTCACATATGACCATTTGATGATCAGATCAGTTTGTGAATCTATTGTTAAAGGCTGAACCGCATATAAGATATCAGAGCATGCTGTTTACATGACTGCTTAAATAATCAGATTACTGCCGAAATCAGATCATATTTCTGCTGAATTCTACAGATTTCAGGTATTTAAATGACGAATATTGTGACCGAGGAAATGCAACACATAGCAAAAGCACCACTGCAAGTGTTAACAATGCTCCAAAACAACTCAGTACACACCCTGAAGCCACAGGGGCTGCTGCAGTACCCCATTGCCCCCTCTTCCAGCGGTTATGTCAGATGTATATAAATCTAGAGCAGCTAAAAAGATCTCTGATGATCACTCTCATCCTGGGAAGCCCTTTTTCATTGCCTCCCCTCTGGTAGAAGGCCGAGGGCTATAAAAATAAGACTTCTCTCCATGCGCAGTATTTTTCACCCCAAGCTGTGACTCTCATGAATCAGGCACCTTCTTCTACTCCTGCTTTACTGTGGTTGAGAGTGCTCTTGCTTCACAGCCCTGTCTTCTGAGAAAATGGTCTGGAAAACTGCACATCGGTCCAGACAGCCCTTCTAACGAGGGACTGCAGCTACAGTACTTTAAGGTGCACCAATGCTGACAAAGGCATTCAAACAGTTTGCACAGTCTCCAATAAAAAGCACTGACCAACAGAATGAGATGCTTTAGAGCAGCTGCACATGAGCCTAAGGTCACCACACTCAGTGCCAAGCATCAGCTAGAGAGGTATAAAGTCCCCCTGTATTAGACCGTGGAGCAGTGGAACTCTATAAGCTGTAGCTACTATGAGTCAGAAATCTCTTACTTAACTGCCCAGAAGATCTCCCCATTCATACTCTACACTCTTAAAAAAGATGGTTCTTCAAGGGTTCTTTAGTAAAAACAATGGTTCTATATGAAACCATGAACACACGAAGAGCCATTTCATGCTTAAACGTTTTTTTGCATGGTCAAATTATTATTCAGATTGATGGACAAAGTGTTGTTGGTCCACTATTATCTTAAATAGTCCTGACAATTATTTAAAAAGCTGATTAGTTCAGTAAAATTAGCTTATTACTGACCTGTTCACTAACCAATCAGCACTCAGTAACAGCAATACCAACCAATCAGCACTCAGTAACAGCAATACCAACCAATCAGCACTCAGTAACAGCAATACCAACCGATCAGCACTCAGTAACAGCAATACCAACCAATCAGCACTCAGTAACAGCAATACCAACAAATCAGCACTCAGTAAGAGCAATACCAACCAATCAGCACTCAGTAACAGCAATACCAACCAATCAGCACTTAGTAACAACAATACAAACCAATCAGCACTCAGTAGTGGTGATGCCAACCAATCAGCACTCAGTAACTGCAATACCAACCAATCAGCACTCAGTAGCAGTAACGCCAACCAATCAGCTCTAAGTAGCTGTAATACCAACCAATCAGCACTCAGTAACAACAATACCAACCAATCAGCACTCAGTAACAGCAATACCAACCGATCAGCACTCAGTAGCAGTAATACCAACCAATCAGCTCTAAGTAGCAGTAATACCAACCAATCAGCACTCAGTAACAGCAATACCAACCAATCAGCACTCAGTAACAGCAATACCAACCAATCAGCACTCAGTAACTGCAATACCAACCAATCAGCACTCAGTAACCGCAATACCAACCAATCAGCACTCAGTAGCAGTAATGCCAACCAATCAGCTCTAAGTAACAGTAATACCAACCAATCAGCACTCAGTAGCAGTAATATCAACCAATCAGCACTCAGTAACAGCAATACCAACCAATCAGCACTCAGTAACAGCAATACCAACAAATCAGCACTCAGTAAGAGCAATACCAACCAATCAGCTCTCAGTAGTGGTGATGCCAACCGGTCAGCTCTAAGTAGCGGTAATGTCAACCAATCAGCGAGTGATTAAAGAAGTGAGTTCTGTCATATTTGTGAAAGCTGATAGTTGGTAAATGGAAAGATCAAAGGTCATCAAAGGAGGAGGACATCAAAGGTCAAAAACTCAATCATGCATGCCTTTGTTTTATTTTTGCACATTTCTCCTGGGTATGGCCCGAGGGGAGACAGTGCTCCTCCTGGGACCGCCCACAGATCCACACAAACCACAGCTTATTATAATACAGAGGAGCCTCTGAATATTAGACCCAGCTGTGGTAAATTTTGGGAGCAGAGCTGTATGATATGAACAGAATTCCACACTGCAATTAAATTCACGAATACCGCATGTACAGTGTAAATTACAATATACTGAAAATGGTGAACCCTCAGTGTGACATTCGGCAGACGGGTCTGAATTACTTTTAACCAAAACGATCTATGCGTGTTAGATCATCTGAACACGCTGATTGATCTAGACACCAACGGGAACTCATCTAGAGTGTCTGAGACGGGTCAGAGCACAATATCACATATAGTGATTTGTGAGAGGCTCTGTAATATCAGTAGTGCCAAGAGCAATATCACAAAAAAGAGGAGAACCTTTCAGAACAGTGTGAATTAGAGAGAACATTCCAGAACAGCATGAATGGGGGAGAACATTCTAGAACACTGCAAATGGGAAATAATTATTTTGAGAATAATTATTTATGTGAAGAAATGATTTGATACTTAAACAATCACACACAGGAATAACAGACTAACGCAGCCTCTGGGTTTGTTGGTCATTTGGTGGAGAATGTTGGGTCGGGTGCTCTGGACTTTAGATTGAGGGCTAAAACCAGATAAGGCGTAGTGAGGAGAACAGCCACTCAATAAGGTCTTCCAGGTTTGTGGAGGGTTTGTGGAGGGTTTTCTCAAGCGAGTCCAAAACGAATGAGTTCATATTGAGCTTTTGTGTGAAACTGTAGTAAAAGTGTAGAACAGCATAATATGTTATATTTTTGAGAGCCTTTGAACTCCAGTTGAGTATGTATATTCTCATGTATATTCATAGTGTCTGTAAGTACAAATTGCTTCACTCAGCTGATGAGCTGATCAGCTCATCCACCAATCAGCACTCAGTAGCAGTAATGCCAACCAATCAGCTCTCAGTAGCAGTAACGGCAACCAATCGGCGCTCAGTAGCAGTAATGCCAACCAATCAGCTCTCAGTAGCAGTAACGGCAACCAATCGGCGCTCAGTACCAGTAATGCCAACCAATCGGTGCTCAGTAGCAGTAATGCCAACCAATCAGCACTCAGTAGAAGTAATGCCAACCAATCAGCACGCAGTAGAAGTAATGCCAACCAAACAGCACTCAGTAGCAGTAATGCCAACCAATCAGCACTCAGTAGAAGTAATGCCAACCAATCAGCACGCAGTAGCGTAATGCCAACCAAACAGCACTCAGTAGCAGTAACGCCAATCAAGCAGCACTCAGTAGCAGTAATGCCAACCAATCAGCACGCAGTAGAAGTAATGCCAACCAATCAGCATGCAGTAGCGTAATGCCAACCAATCAGCACGCAGTAGCAGTAACGCCAATCAATCAGCTCTCGGTAGCAGTAACGCCAACCAATCAGCGCTCAGTAGCAGCAATACCAACCAATCAGCTCTCAGTACCAGTAACGCCAACCAATCAGAAGTGGGCAGGCTCCCTTTACACTGCCTCTGCTAAAACTTAATCCAGAGGAAATGTGACACTAAAGAAAGACCCCTGCTTATACCTGTGTATAGAGAAGGCACTTGACGCTGTAGGTGTGAAAGACTGTGGGATCCTTACCAGCTGCTGCCCCTGTGGCCCCCATCCAGCATACTGAAGATGAGCGTTTCGCACTTCTGGAGGATTCAGCATCCACGTTTCCCTGTGAAGAGCACACCACACATCAACAATTTGATTGGTCGCCGCTCAGTTCATTTGCATGAAGTCCGTTCAGAATGAGAGAGCAAAGCGAGGATGTGCATCAGCGGTTTGATGTGTCAGTTATATGCATATACAGTTGCCTCTCGCCTCATTATAGCACATTACGACACGCTCTGTTTAATGTGAATTACCAAAAAAATCAACATGGGAAAAAGGCAAACAATGCTGCATGACATCATTTTTCACATCACATATTTGCTGCTTAAAAGCACCAAACCTAAATTATAATACCTTCCCGCATCCCTGGGCAGCGCATCTGTAACCATTCTATGCAATAACCTTCTGTGTGGGAGCTTTTAGAGGCACTAAACTCGACTCTTCAAACCACTCTGAATGACTTCGTTTGTGCATTAATCATTTATTTAGGCAGAATTTAAAAAAAAAAAATGGTGGAATTCCTCTTTAACTCCTATAAATGTGTCTTATGTTTTCAAATGGTGTTAAAAAACAGAACAAATGGAGTTAGACGGTTTTCATGACCAAATACAGGCAGATGAACAGACTGACAAGCAGACTGACAGACGGAGACAAGCACACAAAGCCAGAATACAGATAAACCCATAAACACAGAATGCTGGACAGATAAAGACAGACAGACCTGTCACGCTCTCCTGTTCCCGATCTGATGGCCTGTCTGCTGCCTTTCTACTGACTGCTGCAGTTCTATTGTCTTACCAAAGCCCAGATATCAGCCTGAACTCTGAAAATCCCAAATTATGAGCACTGTATGCTCATAAGTTTGAGCACCGCTACTGTAGTGCAAATTTACATGAATACTGTAGCGACCTGCTACTGGCTGGCACTGGCCTCTAGACCAGGGTTTCTCAAGCACCCTTTGGTGGTCCTTGGGCCAATACTGAGGGGCGCCAGTGGTCCACAGTGGGCCGGAGATGGCATATTGTCATAAAAATCAGTGGGAAAAAAAATAACAAATGTGTTTTAAGAACAATATACTTAATTTCCATTCTGTTGATAAGTTTTATGTTCACTGATATGTGTTGCATATTGTGTGGATAGGCACCCAAACATAGCTGTGTTGAGAATTTCCCAAAAATAGATTTTTTTTTTTACTGAAAAATTAACTTGTGGGCCTTCGTACTTTCTAGCGATAAACAGTGGGGGTGGGCCTTGAAATTGAAAAGGCTGAGAACTCCTGTTTGAGACACTCGTGAGGAGAATCACGGGAGGTGTGCACCTTCTGGAAAAGGGTCTTCAATGTTGTTTATGTTCATCAGTTGAAGGTATGTGGTATGAGTTTATTGTGTTGTGCTGTGTGTGGGGGTCACTGTGTGGGTGAAGTGTATGGTGAATGGTGGCCTCCCCTGTGCGTTCAGTGCTCTATATGTGCCTGTCTTCCCTGCAGCCAGGTGCACCTGCTGGATGTAAGTTCAATCGTAAGATCTCAAACTTTTCGTTGAGAGTAGTTAGTTTAAAACTAGCGACACAGAATTTCAGTTGCACCACAAACACTTACGGTACATCTTAATTTTTACCCCGATTTTCTCCCCAATTTAGTCGTCTCCAATTCCACCCTGGTAGTTAGGACTCCCCCAATCACACGATGCTATCAACGCTAGGAGGGTGAAGGCTAACACAGGCTTCCTCCGAGACCTGTGAAGCCAGCCACCGCTTTCTTTTCGAGCTGCTGCTCACGCAACGTCACTGGACAGCTGAACACGCTCGGAGGAAAGCGCCAACCGCCAGATCTGTTACGTCAGCTAACAGACGCCTGCGCCGACTAGCATCGCGCTGAGTGAGTGATGGGGAGAGAAGGAGGGGCCATCCTACCCACCCAGAGAGAGCGAGGCCAATTGTGCTCTCTCGGACTCCCGGCTACGGATGGCTGTAGCATCACCAGGGATCGAACTCGCGATCTCCTGATGATAGGGCCAACGCTTAGACGGTTGCGCCACTCGGAAGCCCACCACTTATGGTACATCTTAACTAGTAGAGCGAGTGTAGTAGTGATCGTAGATTAAAACACTGTCACACAGAGTGACGTTTTCACTCTGCAGCCAAATCAATAACGACACCTGACATAAACAGGAAACATTACATGTATGATCTTCACAGTAAATCACTTGTGTTTCTCTCTTTCCGTGCCACGTTTACTTTGTTTAAGGTGTGTCAGCCGTATTAGCTCTAATTCAAAAAGAGACTGTTTTATGATAAAGTCGTGTCCTCAAAGCGTCCGTCTCTCACGTGTGATTATTCTGTTCTGCTCTTTTTTTCAATGTTCAAACCTCTCATACAATATTTTAAAGGCAGTTAATCAATGAACGGTTGGCACCTTAGCGAAGCTGTGACGAATATAATCATCATTTGAATCTGCTGAACGCAAAAAAAAATATTATGTTAGCAATGTTAGTTATATTTTAAAAAGATCAGCATCAGACACAACCTGAGCACTGATGCAGTTATTTCTTCGCACACAGTTGACTTGTATACTTGAGTCACCCACCTGTTTTGGAACGACCCCGTAGCAAAATATCTCGGTGCCAGACACAAGACTCAGGGCTCTGCTACTGTCTGTGTTATGTTGCAGATCTGTGGCTAGACCGAAAACAGGTGTAATCCATCCTGCAGAACTGGTCGCCGACGCAAACTGAGATGTATTCCGTTTTCCCATTGATCAAATTTTAACTGCCATTTTAACTGATTTTTTCACAGCAGAACTCACACCGACTATAGGGTGCGTGTAAATTTTAAGGTATAACTTAAAGCTACGTTGAAACTATGGTACTCGGTGCAACTGGTTAAATTGTAGTAGCTCGTAAACCTGAACGTAGTGGCAGTTTACGCTCAAACTAGGCTACGATTGAACGTTCAACTGGTGCAACTGGCTGCAGGTGTTTAATAAAGAGCACTTCTTTTGGTGGAATCATGGCCTCCGCTGTGTTTCACTCTACGCCGATGCTACAATACATTTAAATGTACTTTTTAAGAAAATGACTAAAGTTACAGCCAGTAAGCTTCCCTTATAGCTAATATTAGCTAAACTGTCTAGCTAACAGGCAACGACTGAACAGATTTAGGTTTAATAATGAGCTGACGTGCTTAAAACAAACTAGATAGTATCAGGTTAGCAGGCCAGCCAGCTGATGGCTTTTACAGGTTGAAAGCTGAGCTGTGAAAAGCAGAGATTTATTTTAATCAGTAATGGTTAATCAATATCGATGCACTGAATACTTTAGAAATAAACTCAGGTAAAAGAAAACTTACAATAAGCAACTTACATAAATAACCGCCGTTAAAAGGGAAACGTAGTGAAGCGCAACACTGTAATTCATGACTTTATCTGGTACCGACTGGCTGGAGCTGAAGCTGGACTCCAGCAGCAGCTGCAGTGTATATATCTCTGTGTGGGGTCGTACACTACAGGCAGCGGTGCGGCTCCCTTTGTCAGCATTTCAACCTACGAGCTTGTAAATTCAGCGTCTGTCCTCCACCGTTAGTTAGAGAGGAGCTGCTCGCTGGAGGCCTCAGAATTACGGGTGACATCAGCTCTACGTCTCTGTCCTCACGAGCCATGGAGGAAACTAGTGAGCGCACAGCGTTGTGTTTCTCTGCCACTAGGTGGCGAAATGGGGAGAAGGATACTTACGGGGTCTCCAAACTACAGATGATGTAGTACGCAGTGAAGGAGTACTGATAGACCTGCAGGGGAGAGAGAGAGAGAGAGAGAAAGAGAGAGAGAGAAAGAGAGAGAGAGAGAGAGAGAGAGAGAGAGAGAGAGAGAGAGAGAGAGATGGGGCAGTTTAATAAGTAAGTAAGTAAGCAAGTAAATAAATAAACAAACAAACAAACAAACACCACTGGAGCTGATCCAGGTATAATTTTTATGAAACCATACAAGTAATTAAATAAAAAAAATTAAGTATTATTAATAAGGCAAGGCAAGTTTATTTATATAGCATCTTTCATTCACTGCTGTCATTTAAAGTGCTTTACAAAGGGGAAAAGTCAGAAAATACAAAGTGGTTTAAAAAAGTAAATGCAAATAGAAAAACGTAATTAAAAACAACATTAAACACAATAAAAACATGATTAAAACAATAAATTTACAAGAGAAAATCATCAAATTAAAAATCAAATGAGAAATTTAATTAGGAGAGTTAAATAAACAAATTAAACATTAAAAGTTAGATTAGGATAAATAATCATAAATAATTAATAATAATAAATAAGAATTAAAAATAACATTTTAAATAATAGCAAACTACTACTACTACACTACTACTACTAATAATAATAATATTACTTATTATGACTATTATTATTATTATTATTTTTATTATTATTATTATGTGCAAGCTACATTAATCCTGATTCACTGTTGATCAGTTGTTTCTTTGTTTTCCTTTTCTCTTTTGTGTTTGTGTATTCAGAATGTAATAACCACACACACATATCAACAATGAAGTGACTGCACTGCAGCATTTTAAAGTACCTGGCAACCACATCTTCAGCAAGGTCAATCAAATGTGATTATAATCAATATTAAAAGCACCATAAATCATTATTATGTTGCTCTCTTGAGAACCTACAGACCACAGAGGAAAATGTACCACCTTTTAAAGGCCCCACAAAACGAAACACCAACTCTTATTCACTTTTCATGGAATAAGAGTTTGAGGAAATATGTAAACATTGTTAAAGCTTCAAAACGTTCACTCTCCAGTTCATACAGTCCGTATATGGAATCCAAGCTTCAAAAACTTTTGAATGAGGCAAAAATCCACGGCAGCCAATCAGTACAGAGCTCATTTACTTATATCAGTCTTAGAGGAACAGTGACTGTTTAATATTAGGAGATAAAGAGAGGTCTATGGAATATGGTTATAAAAGAACAAATGGACAGTTTGGGTCCATAAACCACACAAATGTTATGTTAAGTGGACCTCAAAGGAAAAAACACCATACAAGAAAAATGTAGCATATGGGGCCCATAAGGGCACAGAACTGACACACGTGATGTAGAAGAGGAGTAAACATTAGTGAGGATTAGCATGCTACACCTGTACAGAGAGAGAGAGAGAGAGAGAGAGAGAGAGAGAGAGAGAGAGAGAGAGAGAGAGAGAGAGAGAGAGAGAGAGAGAGAGAGAGATCCTCTGTGAAGGGCAGGCAACAGTGTGGCAGAGTCAGAGGGAGGAGGGGTGTGTGTGTGTGTGTGTGTGTGTGTGTGTGTGTTTGTGTGTGTGTGTGTGTTTGTGTGTGTGTGTGTGTGTGCGCAATGACAGCTGGGGGACAGAGCTGTCATCCATCACAGCAATGTTGCGACGGACATAGAATAACGAAATAGTTCACACACACACACACACACACACACACACACACACACACACACACACACATATACACACCCCCACACCCCTTGTGTCTTCCAGTCTCCTCTCTCTGCCAAGTGTGTGTGTGTGTGTGTGTGTGTGTGTGTGTGTGTGCCGATGACACTTCTGAACTGTATGTTCAGTCCAGAGAGACAGGTGGTCTAATCACAACTACTCTCTGTCACCAGCAGGAGGACTACGGCCTCGTCTCAATCCAACAAAAACTGCCTCTCCTCAATACTTTAAAAAATGACTTCCCACCAAAACAATCCTGCTTCACTCAATACAACGAGTCCTGCATCACGCTAACACACAAACAGCCTAGTGCCAATTCAGCAAAGAAAACCTGCCTCGTCCCAATCCAACAATAACTGTCATTTCCAGTACACCGAAAAAACTGCCTAGTCCCAATTCAACAAGAACCACCTCCTCTCAATACATCAAAAAACTGACTCGGCCCAGTACACACCAAAAACTCATTCCAGTGCACACATATAAGCCTTGCCCCAATAAAAATACGCCTCGCCACGATCCAACAAAAAGCCTGCCTCGTCGCGATCCAACATAGCCTGCCTTGTCATAATCCAACAAAAAGCCTGCCTCGTCACGATCCAACAAAGCCTGCCTCGTCACGATTTAACAAAAAGTCTGCCTCGTCACAATCCAACAAAAAGTCTGCCTCGTCACAATCCAACAAAAAGCTTGCCTCATCATAATCCAACAAAAAGCCTGCCTCGTTACGATTCAACAAAAAGTCTGCCTCGTCACAATCCAACAAAAAGTCTGCCTCGTCACAATCCAACAAAAAGCCTGCCTTGTCACGATCCAACAAAAAGCCTGCCTTGTCACGATCCAACAATAAGCCTTCCTCGTCACGATCCGACAAAAAGCCTGCCTCGTCACTATCCAACAAAAAGCCTGCCTCATTACGATCCAACAAAAAGCCTGCCTCGTCACGATCCAACAAAGCCTGCCTCGTCACGATCCAACAAAAAGCCTGCCTCGTCACAATCCAACAAAAGCCTGCCTCGTCACGATCCAACAAAAAGCCTGCCTCGTCACGATCCAACAATAAGCCTTCCTCGTCACAATCCAACAATAAGTCTGCCTCGTCACGATCCAACAAAAAGCCTGCCTCGTCACGATCCAACAAACAACAACAGCTGCCTTGTTGGATTGTGATAAAGTGGTGAAGTGTGTTTCTCCGGCAGGTGTTGTGTCTGTGATATGATTACTCTGAGTCTCCTGCTGCTCAGCTTCGCTCCTCATCCTTCTGTATTATATAAGCTGCAGTTGTTGGAGGTTCTCTTTGTGGAGAGCCACACAATGTACCCCAACTGTGTAAGAATAATATTTATTATATGCATGTCATACATAAACTCAGTTTATATGGCCAAAAGTATGTGGACACCTAACCATCACACATATATAAGCTTGTTGAACATTCCATTCCAAACCACAGGCAATAACATGGAGCTGCCCCTCTATAACAGCCTCCACTCTTCTAGGAAGGTTTTCCACAAGATTTTGGAGTGAGTCTGTGGGAATTTGTGCCCATTCATGTTTAAAGAGCATTTGTGAGATCAGGCACTGATGTTGGACGAGAGGGCCTGGATCACAGTCAACATTCCAGTTCATCCCAAAGGTGTTCAGTGGGGTTGAGGTCAGGGCTCTGTGCAGGCCACTGGAGTTCCTCCACACCAAACTGGTCAAACCATGTATTTATGGAGCTGCTTTGCGCACTGGAGCTCAGCCACGCTGGAACAGGAAAGGTTCTTCCCCAAACGTTGGGGAAAGTTGGAAAGCATTAAAAAAATTGGAAAAAATTGGAAGCATATAATTGTCTAAAATGTCTTTGGATGCTGTGGCATTAACATCACCCTACACTATTAAAAAACATGGTTCTTCAAGGGTTCTTTAGTAAAGATAATGGTTCTGTATAGAACCATGAATGCTTAAAGAACCCTTTACATGATTTAAAGATTCTTTGCATGGTGAAATAGTTCTTCAGATTGATGGAGAATGTGTTGTATATGATTATATATAGAACCTTTTGAAAATGGTTCTATATATAGCATGAAAAAGGGTTCTTTTACTGTTACAAGCTTGACATCGTAACAACAGCAGAACCCATTTTGGTGCTACACAGAACCATTTTCAAAAGGATCTATATATAACCACACACAACACATTCTCCATCAATCTGAAGAACTATTTCACCATGCAAAGAACCATTTAAGCAGGAAATGGCTCTATATAGAACTCATGGTTCTAAACAGAACCATTGTCTTTGCTAAAGAACTCTTGAAGAACCATCTTTTTTAAGATTGTACCTCTTGTCGTGCAAAATAACTCTGGTTTGCTGTTTTAATGTTTGAGATTTTTCAGCTTCTTTTGTTGGCCAGTGACTTTAAGGGAGCAGAGCAGAGTGAAGCTTTTCTCACAGCTTAAAATAAAATCTCTCTTTTAACAAAGATAGAATTTGGATTATCGTCTGGCTGTTAACAACCAAAAATTCCTTTACTTCATGGCTGCTGCCATGAAGGCCGGATAGGCTACCACAACTCACAACACCCAGTCTGAGCATGCGTCGCTAGTGTAGGAAAAAGTACCTACTTATCTATATAATTCATGTACATTTAACTTATTTTGAAGACATTATTTCCTTCGGTACGTAGCCCTACATTCACTAAAACAGGCATTCATTTTGATGCAAGGACTCACAGAAATGTGTCAAGAACAGGTATTTACCTGCTAACAGTGTTGCACGTGAGTTCATCTTCCAACATGATGTTTATGCATTTAGCAACAGTCAAATCTGTACTTTTTTTATTTTTTTTAATTGCTCAGAATTGCAGAGGTACATCCTCCTCATCAAACGCCTCAAAACACCCATATCTTCAGCCTCCTGCATTGGCCGATAATTTTAAGGGAGCAGTTTCTTTACCTTAAAAACCGGAAATGATGGTTAAGATACTTACAGGATTATTTAAGGAAAATTCTATTGTTGAGGGAAAAAGTAAGGGTGTGGTTTTACTTTAGTACACTCAAGTACCACCCAGCGCTTTTTGTGCAGCACACTTAAACTTGAAAAACACTCCTCCACCAAACCAGTGGCGGCATGCTTTACACCACTCTAGCCAACACTTAGTATTGCGCAGTGTGATCTTAGGCTTGTGTGTATCTACTTGGTCATTGAAGCCCAATTCATGAAGCTCTCAGCACACAATTCTTGTGCTGATGTTGCTTCCAGAGGCAGTTTAGGACCTTGTAGCGAGTGATGCGACAGAAGATTGGTGATACACATTTCAGCACTCGTTGGCTTTGCTCTGTGAGTTTGTGTGGTCTACTGTTTCCTGACTGAGCTGTTGTTACTTCTAGATGCTTCCACTTCACTATAATAGCACCCACAGTTGATGGGGCAGATTTAGCAGGGCAGAAGTTTCACAAACTGACTTGTGGGAAAGGTGGCATCCTATGACTGCGTCATGTTTAGTCAGCGAGCTCTTCGGTGCGACCCATTCTACTGCCAGTGTTTGTCTATGGAGACTGCAGGACTATGCGCAGCTGAAACACCTGAACTCAATAATTAGGAGGGGTACTTTTGGCCATATAGTGTATGATCCATATACACTACATATAAATGTGAGTATCTATATGTAATATAGATCTACAAGGTCTGGAGCATTTTGTTGGACCTGTAGGTTAGAACTGATTTTCTCTGGTTTTACTACAACAGGGGTGCTCAGTCATGGTCCTGGAGATCTACCACCCTGCAGAGTTTGGCTCCAAACCTACCTGATCCGGGTAATGAAGGCCTTCAGGAGGATGTGAACATTAGGACCAGGTGTGAAGGATCTGAACTCTACAGGGTGGGAGATCTCCAGGACCAGGACTGGACACCCCTGCACTACAATGTCAGGATTGTTTTGTCCTGAAGATGCAACAAATCAAGTACACACACACACACACACACACACACACACACACACACACACACACACACACACACACACATACACTCCACTTACCGGCTGCACGTTGTAGGCCAGCAAAACATGCTTCATATCTGGAGACACTTCGTACTTGCTGGCCTTATACATTTCCTGGAAAGCGCAGAAGAAGGAGAAGAAAGGAGATGAGGCTTTTAACCAAGCATGAGCTTTCTATTAAAATAATGCTTAAACCGCTGCTTTTGACGGATGGATTCCAGCCGCCGACGAAACAGCCGAAACATTAATCTCTCCGGCCTGGAACAAACATAATGTTGTGTGTCGCTTTATCCTGCCTGTTCAGCAGCGACGGGATGGAGAAGAAGAGAGAGAGAGAGAGAGAGAGAAAGACAGAGAGAGAGAGAGAGAGAGAGAGAGAGAGAGAGAGAGAGAGAGAAAGAGAGAGATAGGGAGAGTGAGAGAGAGAGAGAGGCAGAGAGAGAAAGGAGAGAGAGAGAGCGAGAGATGGGAAATGGCTCACGCTAACGAGCTAACTGCACGTCCCGCTAATGATGGATCGTTTGAATGTCGTTTATTAGAAAAAAGGAAAAAAGCTGCCAGAGCTTTGATCTGCTGACGAGCTGACAGAGAGAGAGGAGAGGGGGTGGGGGAGAGAGAGAATTTCTTCTGCAGAAAGAGCACTGGATCTTTTTAGCAAGTAATGATTCTTGTTTAAAAGAAAAGAAAGGTGGAAAAGAGAGAGAGAGAGTGAAGGGAAGAGAGAGAGAGGGAGGAAAATAAAGTGGAAGCTAAGGAGAGAGAAAGTGACACAGCTGGAGAGAAAATGAGAGAAAGAGAAAGAAAAAGAATTAAAATAGTAGAGAGAATGAAAATAGAGCGAGAAAGTAAGAGAAATGTATGGGGAAAAAGAGAGAGAGCGAGTGAGAGAGGGAGAGAGCGAGAGAGAGAAAAGTGTATTATCCTGCAGACAAAGCACAGGATCTCTTACACATCTGATAATTCATGTTTGAAAGAGGAAAAGGCAGAAAAGAGAGAGAGAGTAGAAGAAAATGTGTACGAAAGAAAATGTGAGAGAACAGAAAAGGTGAGAAAATGAGTGAGAGAAAAGGAAGAGAGAGAAATGATAGAGTTAGAACGAGTAAAGGAGAATTAAAGAGAGAAAGAAAGTAAGAGAAAGTAATGGGTCAGAGAGAGAAAAATTAGAGGAAGAGAAAGTAAGAACTAGAAAAAGAGAAACAAAGAAATAAGAATAGAGAAATAGAGAAAGAAAAGAGACAGAGCAAGAGAGAAATGATAGAAAGAGAAAAAGAGAGAAATAAAGAAAAGAAGGCGAGAAAGAAAGAAACAGTGGGAGAGAATGATAGACTGTGAAACAGAAAGACAGCGAGAAAGTAAGGGAGTGTGGAAGAGAGAAGCGATAGAAAGAGAGCAGGACAGTAAAGATACAGAGAAATCACAGCTGAAAAGATAAAAAAGACAGAAATGAAGAAATTAAGGTGAGAAAGAGGAATAGAGAGTGTACAAAAGTAAAAGAGAAAGAAGAGAAGGTGAGAAAGAAATAGACAGAGAAAGAGTGAGAAAGAGAGAAAAATGACAGTTTGAAATGAAAAGAGAGCAAAGTAGTAGAAAGTAAGAGAGTGAGGAAGAAAGAAAACAATAAAAAGAGTAAAAGAGAGAGATAAAGAAACAAAGAAGAGAGAGAGAGAGAAAGAGAGAGAGAGAGAGTGAGAGAGAGAGAAAGAGAAAGAGAGAGAGGGAGAGAGGGAGAAGGAGAAAGAGAGAGAGAGAGGAGAGAGAGAGGGAGAAAGAGAGAGAGAGAGAGAGAGAGAGAGAGAGAGAGAGAGAGAGAGAGACACAGAGAGAGACTCACAAACTTCCTGTTGGGAACCAGCACTGTTGTGTCATTTGTTTCCACATTGAACTTCACCACATCACCTTCACGAGTACGATACAGCAGCTCCTGACCTACAGACCGAGGGGGAGAGAGAGAGAGAGAGAGAGAGAGAGAGAGAGAGAGAGATATGAAGAGGGCGAAAGGGATAAAGAGGAAGAAAGAGAAAAGAGAGAGAAACTCCATTAAGACGTAAATCGGGTGGGTCATTCTCATTTACAGTGACGTGTTTTCTGATTAAACTGGTCTAAATAAGCTTCAGTCTGAAGATGTGATCAAACTACAACACTGTCAGAAACAGGAGTCACTGCTGATACACAAACACAGAGATACACACTGTTTATTACTATTACAACTGAACGTGAGGGTGGGCGATATGTATAAACATACCGTCACGATACCTGAACACATTTTTATGACATGACATGTTTAAAGAATTCATGCTAGAAAGGATAAAATACACCAGCAAAACATCAGCATCACATTTAAAAACAACGATGAAACATATAGAATTCAGTTCAATATTTAAGAAGGTAAAATTAAACAATTGCTAAAAATAAATGTATTAAATATAAAATAATAGCATTATTATTGTTATTTGTGAAAACACTATTATTTGTTCACCACAGCACATGACCTCAAGCGTTGCTTTTATACAACAGTTCTGCAAACTAAAAGAAAGTAAAGCAAAGCAGCTCCGAATATTATAGACAATGTTCTTTAACATCAGAAATTCTTTCCACTAAAAGAAGCAGAATCTTTTTCTGTTACGGACAGAGCAGTAAAGTGGGTTTTATATTTGGATATTCACTGAATATTTAAATTTCTCTCCACAATCTGTCATAAAATAAAAGTCCCCAAATAATTAAAACTTCATTTACCTCTCTGCTCAAAGACAGACAGCAAACTACAGTTAAAAATATCCATTGTTAAATTTTGCTGAACATAATGGTTCAGAAAAGCGAGTCACTGATGTTGTAGTCACTGCGGATCACTGATGCTTAAGCACTAAACAGTGCTTAACATATTTCCCATGTATTTAGTTAAAAGAAGGCAGAAGTGTATGAGCAAAAACGCTTGTTCTGTGGCCGCTACCATAAACGCAAACAGCTTTAGCTTGTTAACTTGCTTATGTCACCTTATGTCAAACTCTCTACACAACACCATACTATCCGAGTTTACATTGTGGTGCTCTAATTGGTGATGTAATAGCTCTGGGTATCTTCATCTTCATCTGGAAGAGTAAAAGATTTGCTAAATTAACGGCGGCTTCAGCAGCAAGGGTTACCAAAGACAGAGGGTCCCCCCACAAATTCTGCCATAAATTGAGTTACTTCCATGCTGAATAGATGCGAATAGAACAGCAAGAAGAACAGCCAACCAGTATGTTTACAAACATTCTGATTGGATGATAAAATGGGCCGACATCCAATAAACGACTTATTGCTATGGAGTTTATACAGTTAAAATATTGTTGCTGTCGGAACAAAACCTCATATCTCCTAAATGGCAACTTTACAGGGGAAGGAAAAACATACTTTACTTTTAATGTAAGTCAATGGAACCAGACATTTTTCCAAGTCATTTTGGGCCGTTTCTTTTGGTCCATTCATCATGAAATTTACACACAATGTAAAGGGCAGCAGGTATTTTCAAATTATGCCAAAAACTGAAAAACGACAAAAATGGAGATACGAGGTTTTGTTCTGTTTTTTGTTGTTTACAAGCCCTTTAAATAGGTGTAAATCTGTCTTTTTGTGATCTGTACAGTTGTTCAGTGTTGTAGAATGACAGACTTTATCCACCAATTACTCAAAAGTGTCTAAGGTAACATGATGTACCACTATAATGATAACATTTTTAATTTTCCCAGTCTTAGGTGCACAGTTAGTGTTTGTATTGATGAATAAACAGGTCTTCATTCTGCGCCTGAAGACACCAGCTGGAAAGAGTTTCTATGCTTATCTTCAGTATCACGAAAGACGCGCAAGACAGAAAACTTTTATACGACCCCCCTGGTGCAATCCCCGGCGGTTCCACAGGGGGGCACATTCTGCAATCCTGCTGATAAAACTCTCTCACATTTCTTTCGCGACACTGACTTTGGCAAAGACGAAGGCCAGCAGCGCTTTCAGCTCTAGCTGGGCCTAAGCCACAAGTCCTCGGCACGTAGGGCTGAGCAAACACTCCAGCTTTAATAGTGGATTAGAGGCCTTTTTTTCCATCTCGCTTGCATAACTAATCACCGATAAGAGGTGACACAATTACCATCACAATGACATTAACAGCAAAAACGCAGGAGGCAATCAAAGCACGGCTTTTCGCACGGATCGGATAACTGTGGAAGCTCAGCAGACGCAATTAACAGTTTCTGCTGCTCTTGCGCAACACAGGAACATTATGCAGATAAGCAGGAGATAAAACAGGAGCTTATTAAGGTGAGAAGAAAATACCTTTATACAGTCAGCAATAAGAAGTAAAGGTGTAATCACATTTTTGAGCGGTCAAATGCGCCTTTTGACCTTTACACCCCTCCTCTGCCCAGCTTCATTTTTTCTCTTCTGTCGTCTGAATTTACTACCGGAATGTAAATAAGGAAACATCGGAGGAACAAAAGCAGAAAGTATTTATCTAACAGAAAATTATCCAAAAGCCTTAATAAGCAGTATGCTGTGTGTCCACTTTGTACCTTTATTACAGCTTCCATTGTTTCCTGGAGTCTCACTTTCAGTTTCTCAAAGAATCTGCAGACACACCTCCAAAGTTCAGTCTTAGAAGTTGGTTGATCATTTTCTGAAGTAATCAAACACATTCAGTGATGTTGAGGTCTGGACTCTGGGGTGGTCAGTCCACTTTTCTGAGAGCAGATTTTTTGAGTTTTACGTTACATCATGTCTTCTTCTGTGAGTTTATTGGCTGGTTGCAAAGCATAAATTGCCTGACCCATGTAGACCTGGAGTTTCCCCATTATCTGATTACTCAAGTGCATGTAAACGCATTGATCGGATTACTTACAAAATCTGATTTTCTGCAGTTATCAGATTATTAAGTGCATATAAATGCACTCACTGTATGATCCACTGATATCTATAAACACGAACAAACGTAAGCTGCATAGATGAAATCGGCAGTAAAAAACATCTTGACGCCTGACTTTTGTCCACGTATTGATAATTGGACAGCTAACACATTATCACCGGTCTGAAAGGGTCCACTGTTCCGTTGTCCATTGTTCAGCGGAAGGTCGTCTTTGAATTCATATTGGAAGCTAAAAATTGACCGGTGCACCAGAATACCTCAGAGCCATCATTTGTTCCCATGACCGATATGTCCCTTCCCTTTTCCCTGTGGGCACTGCCCCTGTGGCCTGCAGCCTCCATCCACCGCTCTCTCCTCCGTCTCTCGGAGTCTATCCATCACGCCGTCCAGACAGGCACGTTCAGAACACCTAGCTGTTCCCTGTCCCCATCACTCAGCCCGCGGCCTCGTCCCAAACCTAATCTCCACCGCTGCGCTGAGGAACACTGCCTACACCAGAGTGCACTTGCTGTCATCTGTTATCTCTACAATTCTCTATAATACTGTTCCAACACTCCACACTCTGATCTGTACCCAGCATGGACCTTAAACTTCTGTAAACTGTGTTCCTCCACTATCTACAGCATCTCTGAAATCCCAGCAGTATCTCTGCTGCTGTTTACACTATCTCTGTACTCACTTTCTGAACTTTGGAACAGGTATTTCTCCTGCTTCTCTTTTTTCAGCAGTAAATGGGAATCTATGGGAACAAGAGTGGGCAAGATTAGTCTAGCTGGACCGCAAATACAGCCTGTAGGGAACACGGTGTGCTGGATGGCTAACATTACAGAAAACATTCATGCTTGATGCCATGGTTACGAAACTAGCTATACTATTAAGATGGTATTAGTTTGACATCGAAAGGTGAGGTAATCATTCCCAGAGAATCGATTTTAGTACCGTCATTTGAAGAATTCTCCCTGCGTAATTCAGTCACTGAGACATAGAGTCATTCAGAGTGGTTTGGTGTGAAATGGTTCACTGTAGAAAACTTATAGACCCAGAGGTCTTTACAGTGGTGTTGATAGGAACCAGGGGTCACCATGACTACAACACTAATATAGACATTTTATTTACTATCCAGAACCACCAGTGAACCAACAGGAGTCTTCTGAGTGTTTATATGTCATGTTGATGATGATAAAATAGTGATAAATCTGGAAAAATCTGAAAAAGTTTTCTTTGGGGACTTTTTTGCCTCGCAACGCCCTGCATGAATAAAGAATGTAACTTTACAAATAAATGCATTTTAGGCTTTAGCCTTCTCAAAAATAATGTTTAAGGCAGTGAATTCATAACCATTCCATGTAATAACTTTCTGTAAGGGAGCTTTTAGAGATGGACGTCTGGTTCCTATCACCACCACTGTGAACAATTCTGGCTAAGTTCTAGTTTTTCTAGAATGGAGCATTCCATTCAGAATTACTTTTTTGTATTTCCAGATGAATAGATTTACATATGATTTTTCTCATGACTTCGCACAGTACTGGACGTCCAGAAAACATCCCAGCCAGGGAGATGTAAAGGTGATGCTACGCCACCGTCATAGTATCCCAAGTGGTTGCTAAAGTGTTGCTAGACCACTGCCATGTTATTCCAGGTGGTCGGTAAGGTGTTGCAAGCTGTTGCTATGTTATCCCAGGTGTTTACAATGCCACTGCTATTGCTATGATATCCCAGGTGGCTGCTAAGGTGTTGCTAGAGCACTGTTTCTGTATAGGCTCTACCAATCATGCAAAGTGTTGTGGTTCTAGTGAGAGGTAAGTTGGCTAAATAAATAAATAAACAAACAAACAAACTAACAGTCTGTCTGGAACATTAACTATTCTTCGTCAGCCTGATGAGGTCCAGCAAGACCTGAACTGAGTAAATCTGAGGATTTGAATCGAAACAATTATACAATTATACAATTATCTGAGCATTGTGTGTGGATTTGATTGCTAAATGTGAAAAATACTTTGAATTTGTTTGCTGCAAATTCAGTTGTTTAAAAGTT